CTTCCCTGGTGGCGCAGTGGTTGAGAGTCCGCCTTCCGATGCAGGGGCCACGGGTTCGTGCCCCGGTCCGGGAGGATTCTGCGTGCCGCGGAGCGGCTGGGCCTGTGGGCTGTGGCCGCTGAGCCTGCGTGTCCAGAGACTGTGCTCCGCAACGGGAGAGGCCACAACAGTGAGAGGCCCGCGTACCGGAAAAAAAAAAAAATTCAGGGGGGTTATCTCTACAAGTCCTTTGCCCCTTAATCCTCACGGCCAACTGGCCTCTAGTAAAGGTACCCACATTCCCTGAGAGCCTTAAGGAGGCGCTGTGCTAGGGACTTGCCATGGATGACTTATCCCTCCCAACAAACCACAAGGAACCACTTAAGTCAGCTTATAAACCACAATACTGAGAATCATACTTGGGTCTCTTTAACCCTCCCCCCACCAGAGACCTATGGTAGAGAGTGTCCCAAAATACTTAAATGAAGAAAACAAATGCATTGGTCATCAATAGCAATTCCCACTAGTATGGAAGTATTAAGAGATAAGCAAAAAATTCCTCATATCTCAGTGACTACTATTATGATTTGTCTCTGTGTCAGAGTTACAAAGTATCATCATGTATAGCTGGCATGTCCCTCAGCTTTGTTTTCTATAATTTCTATAGCAAATTCCAGATCAAGGCCCAATACATATGATGTGTGCCTCAGGCATGGGGTTAGGCCAAGTGGAAATGTATACAGACTCCTTATGTACTATTGCCTTCACTCTGACGTGGTATAAAAATTAACAAAAAACCATAGAGAACTAAAAAAACAGTAACTGGTTATGAACCCGTCCATGAATATTCATTCTAATCACTGTACAATAATCAATTAGTAGTATACACAGCAAGAAAATACGAAATTTGAGGCTACAGATTGCAGAACTGAATAAATCATCATTTTGAAATGACATAACTAGAGATAATGCATTTTCTTTTCTGGATGAAAGATTCATTTATGTTTCCTAGTGGAATAAATAAAGGGGAAAAATACACATGAATGGTAAAAAAAAAATTAAGCCAAAGTGTCTGTTCCTACAAATACAGGTCAAGAAAAGCATTGCTCACATTATTTGATTTTACAGTTTGGATATTCATTACCTTGTTTTCTTAAGACTGAAAAAAAAAAAATGTGAGTTTACTGAATTTCCTAATGTTTTATACAATGCAGTCGACTTTTTAAAAAATACACGTTAGGGGCTTCCCTGGTGGCGCAGTGGTTGGGAGTCCGCCTGCTGATGCAGGGGACACGGGTTCGTGCCCCGGTCCGGGAAGATCCCACATGCTGCGGAGCGGCTGGGCCCGTGAGCCATGGCCGCTGAGCCTGCGCTCCGGAGCCTGTGCTCCGCAACGGTAGAGGCCACAGCAGTGCAAGGCCCGCGTACCGCAAAAACAACAACAACAAAAAAAACGACGTTAACACATTAACAATATTACTAACGAAAAGTTGTAATGAAATTTCTGGTTCTTTTCTAAGTTTACCTTTCCTAATATCAAGTGGTAGAATGTGCTCTGGTGCTTTACATTTTAAATGTGATGTTTCAACTAATGTTGCCAGAAACAAAATGTCAATGAGGATGCAAAGCTTCTAAAAACAAACTAAACTAGAACTATCAAAGACATAAAATAGAGTAACCATAGTCATGCTAATTTTAAACGGTCACTGATTAAACGTTTTTTTCCTAATCAATGTCAGGCATTTGCTATATCTTTTTCAGAACTGTTTTTAAGTTATTCATAATTTCATACTTCTAAATTTCTCACACCTTTAATGAAGGAACATAAAAATAATAGTGGTAGCGTGGAAAAGAACTTAGATGCAATGCTCAGCAAACCTTACATATGTGTGTGTGTACGCGCGCACGTGCACACACACATTCCCACTCCAGACCTAAAATGGCTGAGTTGCAGGATATTGTTGCTTGGTGACCAAACAGTATCTCCTCAGCCACACAGTAATCTAAACAGTGACAGATATGTCTCCTCAGTTTTAGGCATGGCCAGGACAAATATTAAAGGGCATGTTTATCTTCTCCAATCTTCCACATTTTTAAGTCAGTTGTCACTTGCTTGATTTTATCATCAGTTATATCTAGGCTTCAGGGGGGAAAGTATTTGCAAACCTACATATGTTATTTTGGAAAAACAAGAGGTAGAACCAAGCTTCTTTCAGACTGAAAGATAGTCCTGTTTCAGTTAAGTCTGTGTGGTGTCTGCTCTCTTCTAGTCCGACCTCCCAGTTGCTATCAGTCTCCCTTTCTTTCATTAAACACAAGAAGTTAATTAGCCCCAGCCTGTCCTCTCCCCTTCTCTCTTTCCCTTTTTGCAGTAGTAATGATGTCTAATTACCGGCAACTGTGGGTTACTGAAACACCAGGCGCAAATCTCTCTCAATGACAGCAAAGCCAGCCATGAACCTTCAAGCCTCAAAAAGCTAGCATGATTCTTAGTCTACTTGAAAATACCATTCAAATACAGTACTTTCTTTCAACCGATATATGCCTTTGAATGAAAAGAAAAAGATATTCTTTGTCTTTCTGGTGACTACACTCCTGTTATCATAAAGAAAAAACATATTTTTAAGGAAAAATATTTTGAGATGTGGGGAAACACATGATAAAAGGGGATCTTTATTTTTTAACTCATTGAAATGATGATTGGCTGCCTCTCAGAGAAGGAGGAGCCTATAATTCTATGTCAGGAGCAGCATAAAAATTTCATAAACAGCAATAGGAGAGTTCATGAATTAAAAACATCTGCAACATTTCCAAACGGGTCTGAATGAAGATCAGAGCTCTTAAATACTACACGGGAAACCATTATCCAAGAACATCACCTGAAGGGTTACATTTTCTCCCCTAACTATATGGAATCCTTACTGAAAAGAGACACACGTGTTACTTTATTATTAACCCTGGAGTTGTTACTCTATATTAGATGTCTTAGCAGCAGTTCTTTAACAACTCTGCATTAATTTTTCAATGAAAATATGGTATCTGAGCATGTAAATGCTGGTTTGAATTACTGGCATCCATGTTTATCTTAGCGCCTCTACAACCATTACAGAATTTACGTTAGAATTTTGAATTAATGTTTTAAAAAGGCACACCTGTTTATACATTCAGTGTATGTAACAAAATCCATGCAAGTATAAACTCGCTGGTGTAATACACAAGTGAAGCTATCTGCCACGTAAACAGAGGTGCCTAAGCATAACATAAAAAAATGAAAAGCAAACTCCCAAGCTAGCAATTTAAAAAGAAAAGACACAGAATTATTAAATAATATTCAGGTAAATATATCTTAAATGATTATTATATTCATCAATTAGCCCCGTATTGCCCGAAGGAAAATATATCCACATGTTGTGAATTCTAATTTACTTTGTCTAAAGTGAGTTATTTTTTTAAATCAGGTTCTTCATGTTACTCCCAATGCAAATGAATCAAAGCACTTCATTCTCTGTGACAGACTTCTGGCTCATCCAGATGTAAATAAACCTCAGTTCATCCGTGCTCATTACTTAGTAAAGCAATCTCACCATTGTCTTTAGCAATGCCACATGTTAAAAGAGAAGGCTGCATTTATAGATCGACCTTCTAGAAACCTTCCAACAATGGTACATTTTTTTAAAAAACATCAGAACTTTTATGTGTGTTTCCATTTCACCTTTATTTCCATGTCCCATTTTCCATATAAATTTCGAGAGAAATACACTCCCTTCAAACAACTACCTCTAATTAATCTCAAGAAACCATAAACTGCTTTCCAAACATAAAAGAGTCCTCCAAATAATCCTTTGAAAAACCTTTCATGCACATATTTCCAATTGAATATACCTCCGTTTGATAGAGAAGAATAGCTTTCAAGGCATCTCGTTTCTAGCATCCTCCAGGAATACTGCACGAGAAACAGTGGCCAGTAAGGAAGGGAGGAAAAGGAGCAAATGCTCAAGAAACCCGAAAGCGAGGCAAAAATGTACAGGATGCCAGATACCCTCCCCCACCCCTACTCCAGACGAGTACCCACCTAGCATGATGAAGAAAGAGGTCTTACGGATCTGATCTGCAATCCTACTTGTAGCCCACAATTCCCATCTCCTTAAAAAGGAAATTGACGCTGCCGCCGCTCCCCAGCCTCACAGGCTCCTGCCTAGTAGGCTGAGGTATACTGAGCTCTCAATGCCAGAGCCTGGGCTTAGAGCTTTGTGGCCATGAGACTAGAGCCATCCCAGAATAAGGAACAAATACGTACACCACTTGACTGCGCCCAAACCCATCTCGCTTTGTTGGTCATCATGTAGCTGCGGCTTTATTTGTGAAAGGGGCAAGTGGGGAAGGGAATGGGGGAAATAGGAGGAGGAATCTCCAGGACCTTATCTACAATCTAAATAGTCGTGCTAAGATCTCCGGGAGTGATAAAGGCGATCGGACAGCCCGGTGTCTCCCAACAGCGGCGGTCTAACAAAAAAACCTGATAGTGTCCGGGGGAAAACCCCACATCCACGACCAGCGCCACGTTTGGGCTTTGTGCCAATAAGGAGACACTGTAGACTATCGATCAGAATCGTCTATTATCAGAGCGTGCGTCTGGGGTTCCAGCGTGGCCTTTATGAGCGGTGGCGAAGGCGGGACACGCGCCAGGCGCCCAGCGAAGGACGTGGGACAATGGCCCAGCCCGAGGACGCGGGACGCCGCCCGACCAGGGGATGGAAGCTCCAGCAGCGGGTCCGGGAGCCCGGAGGCCAGGAGGGCTGCGCGCTCTGAAGGTGCGCTGCCGCTTTAAAATAAAGGACCACAAAGACTCCACGTTGGGGGAAACGCGCCTGGCTCACGCGACTGGGGACGACTTGGGGAGGGGGTTGAGAAGGGTAGGGGCAAACGAGCCAACGGTGGCTCACGGCTCCCCCTTTCTCCCCCACCCCCCCAGCGCCGGGCTGCTCGGGCAGACGAATAACAGAGGAAGGCGAGTCACTCACCGTGGTCTTGACCGGCACGTAGAGCACTTGCTTTGCGCCGCCGCCCCCGCGGACCTCGTCCGGCTGGCCCAGCTGGAAACCCTTCGATTTGACCCAGAATTTAAATTTGGCGTTGTCCGTGGAGCTCGACTCGCAGCCGTTGAGGAGCTGGACGATCCGCTCGTATTTTTTACGGGTCACCGTCTTGGTCTTGCCTGAGTCCCCGTAAGTCCTGAGGCACCAGTCCTGGAACTGGCGGTACATGTCGCGCTCACTCTCCATGTTCCCTGCTCCCGGCCGCCGGCCGGATGCTCCCAGCGCACTTCGCACCTGTTCACCCCGGGCTCATGAAAAATGCAGCTCCCGCCACGATGTAGGGACGCGAGGTCCCGGCCGCCGCCAGAGCCTGCCTCGGGTGTTGAGGGGGGGAATGGGGAGTGGGGAGGAGGGTCGGTTGGGCACCAGCGATCAATGCCCTGTGCTACCAAGTCTCTGGTTCGTTCGTAATTGCGACGGATGTCTTGGACGCTTTTCTCGTCTTCTTAGTGATGGGTCTCTTTAATACTGTAGGAGTAGGACCATCCTAACAGCATCTGGCCCGGAGGAGCTGGGTTTTGAATAATTAAAATCCCATTCCTTGGTTTATCAAAAACCCACTATTGACTTGAGGTGGTCCCTCGACGCCTCGCCCGGGGCTGTGTCCGGGGCAGGCAGGTGGAGCGCAGCGCCGCCTCCCCGCGCGAGCCCCAGAAGCTTCCCCAGCCTCCGGCCCCACGGTCCAGGAGAGAGGGCTGCGCCTCTCTCAAAAGCAGCTGCCCGGCCGAGCGCCTGAGAGCGCGCTCCAGGGTCCTGTTCCGCTTCGGCCTTTCCCTGCGTGGGGCGTTCAGGGACTAGAAAGAGAGAAAGTTCTTACCTGTCATGATGTTAAACCTATCAAATCCTGCTACACAGGAAATTTTTTAAGGTATTTTTAAAGCGGCATACAATGTCATTTCTTCAGATGCATTTAGGCTAAATTCCAGTCCCGGAGGTAGGTTCCAGGAGTTAAGTCCCAGAATTAGCAAAGCATTCACGAAGATTTGGCCATAGTTCTATAGGATAGCCTGTGGTACCCCAAACAGATATCCGTTCCAGGGGGATGTGGGTAAACGAAGGCAGGCCGCTGGCGGCGGGTCTCCCGGATAATGATGGGGTCCCCAGACAGGACTCTGGTCTCTGGCGAACTGGGTACAAGGCATAGAAGTAAGTTTATGATACAGATGCTTAAAACCCTTTGCATGAAATTAGAATATAGCGAGGTATCATTTTCCCATTGCTTGGTTACAGTTTGCAGTTCACACGGGAGGTTTCGGATGTCTATTTTCCCCCTGCCACGTCATGGACACCCCCTCCACACCTCAGAGTGGCCAAATATGAGTTCCTCCGGACGATTTCTCAAGCAAATGAAATCAGCGGTTCCTCCATTCAGGATTTCCATCCGTTTGTTACAGAGCTTGGAATAGGAGAGTTCCCATCCTCCTCGCGCTGCGATTGCGGCCGCTCCTCTTTATTCTACTCTCTGCGGAGGCCCGCGCCCGTCCCGGGAGGCGGCTCTGCCAGCAAGGCGGCCCGACCAGCGCTCAGCGCCGGGTCCGCGTCCTAGCCCACCTTCGCCCCTCGTCGTGGTCTCCAAGACGAAAGCCCCGACTGGGAACGCGGAGTGTTTGTACCCAGTGCGCCGCAGCTGGTCCCGGCACTTGCAAAATGGTCAGTGGCTCCTGCTCGGCCAGGCTTAGTGTGTGCGTGTGTGTGAGCCAGGGAGCGAGGGCGTGCGGTGTGCAGGGGGTGCGCCGTGTGTGAGCGCGTCTCCGGGAAGGTCTCGCGGCGGCTGGAGCCGGGACTGACAGCCCAGGCGGAGCGCGAGCAGCTCCACACACTAAACCTCTCGCCTCTCCCCTCACCCCCACCCCTCCCACTCCCCTCTCCTCCCTCCCCCCCTTCCCCGGCCCCTTCCAAGCTCTCTGATTGGCCAATGGGACAAAAGTTTCTGTGGAGACGGCTGGGCGCTGACGTCACGGACAGAATTGTCCCATTTAGGGATCCCGGGGGCAGTGCGCATGCTGCAGGCTGCAGGTTAGAGGCAGGAGGAGGTAGCAGCGGGCCCGGCGGCAGCCAGGTGGCGGAAAGGAGCACTCAGCATCCAGGTGGGGGGACGACTCCAGCAGGGTTTCCATGGAGATTCCTCTGGGTCTAGCCTAAAAACAGCAGATCAGCTGACACCATTAGCTCAGGACCTAATTACTGCTTATTGGAGCAACAAATGAGGGAGAGGGCCAGCTGCAAAGGAAGAGTTTTTATCCACCCCCCCTCCCCATCTCCTCCTCTCTCCCCTCTCTGGGGGGGTTCTAGAGTCCCGGGTGAATTCTCATTAACTTGCAAGATTGCTGCATCGACAGCTCCTCCTCTAGAGGCTACCTTGACTGCTTTTATTCTTTTTATTCCCTTCTTTTGTATCAAAAAGAAAATGCTAAAATAAATCAGTTGTCCTGAGTCCTTGAATTATTTTTGCCCAATAAATATTAGACCGGTAGAGCTCAGAGAATCCACCGGCCAAGAGAAGTCACAAGTGGATCACATATAAGGGAAGGATCACTTTCAGTTTATTGAATTGGGTATTTATCTTTAGGCTTTTCACATTAAAATTTTTTTTTTCAATATCTTAAATAAATATTTGGAACAAGCAATTGGACAGAATAGTATTTTCCATCACCCTTCTAAATGTGTACCTCACAGGAACAACTCTCTTAAAAGTTTCCCTGGTGATATCAGAGACGGAGGATGATTCCAAGTCAAGAGATCTAGATTTTCTGGTATATTGGTCATAGGTTTCCTAGGAGATTCTGGAAGTATAGTTGGTCATTCATTCAAGATTAAGCTGGTTCTATAGAGTTTACTTTCTCTTACGGTTATAGCTGAATTCGCAATTTTAGAATTCGTTTTGGTAGCTCTTTCATTTGAAAAGTCACCCCACCTCCTCTAAGCCTCATTCAAATACCTTCAGAACCAGAAAGACTTCCTTTCTTGACTTACTCAAGTTAAAGTAATCTGCCTCTCTAAACTCCTCTGGATAGAGTCTTTCAAACATTTTTTTTTTTTTTTTAATTAATTAGTTAGTTAATTCGTTTATTTATTTATTTGCGGTATGCAGGCCTCTCACTGCTGTGGCCTCTCCCGTTGCGGAGCAGAGGCTCCGGACGCGCAGTCTCAGCGGCCATGGATCACGGGCCCAGCCGCTCCGCGGCATGTGGGATCTTCCCGGACCGGGGCACGAAGCCGTGTCCCCCGCATCGGCAGGCGGACTCTCAACCACTGCGCCACCAGGGAAGCCCCTCAAACATTTTTTTTAACCTTGTCTCATAGTAAGACATATTTTACTTTGGCATAGAGTGCATACATACATCTGTCCTCCAAAAATTTTATGCAATAAGTATTTTTTTATTACATGCAATACACACTATTTGCCATTTTCTCCTATTTATTTTATTTGGTAAAGTATTGTCCTAACTCAATAAATTTATTTTATGATCCAGCAAAGGATGACTGGCAACTATAGTTTGGAAAACATGGTTTTAGATCACAAGAACTGCACTGCTCCTCGTACTATATATTTTCATGTAAGTATGTTTCATTATTCAAATAGAATCTTGCTTGGAAGACTCTTGAGAGGTTGCATTTTCTTGTTTTCCAAGTAACTCCAGCACAATGAACAATGCACACAGTAAGTACTTAATAAATATATACTGAGTTAGTTAATTACTAAAGGAAGGAAAAATGAGGAAGGGAAGGAAGGAAGAAGCAGGCAGGCATAATTCTTGGCCATTCCTGTTGCCTTTTGCTGGGTGGTGTTTGGATGAAGTTGGGCCCCACTTAAGGAAATCATAGGGACTGACCACATACACATGTTCATTCTATTTAAGATTATACTTGACACACCAGTGTATGGAAATTAGAACCCTTGAGACATACAGGATTCACAGAATACAAACAAATATGTCATCAACCCCTAGTCATATTAACTAGATTTTGTATGTAAGCAAAAAAAAAAAAAAACACTACAGAATTGAAAGAGATCATGTAAGACACATTCTTTTTCGAAGGAAGAGGTAAATTTTAACTATTGAAAGAGTATTCACATGGGACTAAAGGAAAAGAGAGTTCTAGGACTTTGAGAGCCAAGTTTCTCAGAGCCCTGTGGATCCTCTGGTCTCCAGTGTGCTCTGTCCTGTACTTGTACTCATTATTAGTTGGGGGGCTGGGTCAACATCTTTTACCATATCTTATCTACATAAAAGCATAAGCACTTGAAATATCTAAAATCTGCTTCAGCAACTCACTCTGGATTCATTTCTCTCCTTTACTTTTAACTTCTCTAGAAGTTCTTCCCAGCTCCACCTAGAGGGTCATACTGAGCCTTTCCTTCAGCTAAATTATTCATTGAACAGGCTGCCTGGAATTTAATTGGCATTTCCCCCAAGTCACTTTCTTCAGAATTGATTCTCTACAGAGCATCTCTCTCCAAAAAAGTGACTCTTTACCCCTATATCTGAACACCAATCACTAAGCCCTGGCCCAGGGTTCTGCATGCCATTTATAGGGAGAGGAAGTCAGAAATTATTATATCAGAATTGTAATATATAGTAAAATATATATTATATTTTAATGAAGGATAATCCAAATTTTGAAATACAATCAACATGATTTTATTATGAAAGTAAAAGTTCTTCCAACCTCATGGTCAGTTTGCATATGACATTTAAAAACATCTGGAAAATCTTGCATTTTAATATCCCTCACAAATAGTCATGCAACACTACATATTCATCAGCAAAATGTTACAGTGCAAACAACAGATAATCCGTAATCATAAAATAAAGATTCAAAGAATAAACAAGCCTTCATTCATCCATCCATATAATTATACTTTCATTCAACAAATATTTACTGAGCACCAACTTCTCTGATAGACCCTAGAGTTAAAGTAGTCAACAAGACTGATGTATATATATGGCCATCATCTAATGGAACTTAAATTTTTTAAGGAAAACATAATAAGCAAAGAAATAAATAATTAGCCCTTGAGGTAAGTGCCAGGAGGGAAAAAAAATGGTACTATAATAGAAAACAGTGGCAGAGTTAGAGGGACTTGGTGACTCAGGGAAGATATATCTGGGTAGGTAACACTTATTGTGAGACATGATGGATGCAAAGAAGTCAACCAGTCAAAAAGCCAGGGAGGGGAACTACAGGCACAGCACAAAGGCAAGACCTCTTGGCATGTCTGAGGACTAGAAAGAAGACCAGTGTACCTGGAGCTTATTGAGCTTCAAAGGGAGAGGTAGGCTATGAGGTCTGAGTTGTCTTTTGCTGCCGTATCCTATAGGGCACTGGTCACCATGATAAGGAATTTGCATTGTATTATTGGTCCAGTGGAAAATCAATCAAGTGTTTAAAGCAGGAGAAGTATGTGATATGAGTTGCATTTTTAGAAGTTTCACTGGCCACTTTGAAAAGAAAGGATTAGGAGGAGGAAAGCATGGCCAATTAG